ACCTTGGGGACTTCTCACACCCTCCCCACTATAGGCAGACAGACAAATAGATGCCAGCTGGAGACAGAGAGAAGTCTGGTTGGAGGATGTGTAGAAGCTAGGCTCAGAGCATAGGAGACTCTAAATTCAGTGCTCTGGCTTTATTGGTGTCTTTATTGTTTATTATTTTTAACAAATGAAGCTCAGTCACCATCTCCATGCTTATTCTGCTATTTATGAATTAGAAAGCCGTGTAAATCTTCTTGTCTCCCCATGGGTCAGGCTCAAACATGGCTAGCACTAGCGTACCATCTTGGCTATTGCTTGACATTAGGTTAGGGCTGTGTTTCCCAAACTGTGGCCCTGACCACCTGTTCTATCATATTGGGGAAGTTGTAATTAAAAAATTCAAATTCCTGGGCCTCATCTGAGACCCCTCTGAATCCAGACACTTCTGGATTGAGATAAACTTTATATTTGACCAAACACTGGAATCTTAAGAATTCATCAGTTGAATATACCCAAGAAGCCATGTCCCAGCACAGAATAGCTCTTCCACTAGAAAGGGTCCTTCCTGACATTTCTAGGTCTTTCCCTTTTGTCTGGTATTCTTCTGACTTGTGTCCACATACATGTTTCCCTGAGTTTGAGCACCTACACTGAGTTGTGCTGGGACTCTTTTGACTCGGTCTCTCCACATTGTGTGTGTGTGTGTGTGTGTAATGCATTCACACTGTTGTTTCAATTGTAGTTGATTCTTTTTCACTGTGGTGTAGTATTTCAAGGTGTGAACACAACACATTCGGTGGTGATGGTGTCTGGGTTGTTTTCAGGTTCAGCCTTCCATTCTAAAGCTATGAAGAAGCTTTGCTTAAATGTGTCTTGGTGCACATATTTCTGTAGGAAGTAGCATTTCTGCATCTTCGGGTAAAGGGATGCTTAGCTTTGGCAGAGAACTGCTGGATTTCCAGAGTGGTTGCCTGAATTTGAGCTCTTGTTCACACTTGGTGTTGTCAAACCTGTTCGCCATTCTGGTGGGTCTGTGGTAGTGTCTCCTTGTGGTTTCTGTTGCATTGTCTCGTTGGCTAATAAAGCTTTCTATTGGCCACTTGATTTCCTTTGGGGTGGGGAGTTAGCTCACTGGTAGAGCCCTGATCTAGCATTTGTGAGGCCCTGCGTTTGATTTCCAGTACAACAACAATAAGAAAATGGCTTTCCTTTTCTATGAAGGAGTTTATCAGGTCTCTTAAAACACGGTTGTCTGTCATTTATCCTCTGTCAGAACGTCCTCTAGCGAGTGGTCTTTTGTCCTACAGGGGGTTCCCTTCAGGTCACAGAAGTCAGGGTCACCTCCAGGAAACTCTTGGCTCAGTTTTCTTTTTTTTTAATTGTGAAAATACTGTACAGAGGGGTTGCAATTACATGGGCAAGGTAACGAGTCATTTCTTATCAAGCATTGTTGCCTCCTCCTTTGTTTCCCCTTCCCATCCCCCCGCCTGTACCTCCCTCCCCCCATTCGGCCAAAGTTGTAAAGTTCGTTTTTTCAACATAACGTCTTGTACCTCTCATTGTTACAATGGGTCCACCTGTATCCCTATTTAAATGATTTGCTTTTTCCCTTCCCCTCCACAAATTATACCAACATCAAATACAGTGAAAGAGGGATTATACTGTGGGGGAGGGACATACAAAGCAACAAAGAAATCATCTTATCAATATGTTAGAGGGGCTGGGAAGGTGGCTCAGTGGTAGAGCGCTTGCCTTGCATGCCTGAAGCCCTGGGTTCGATTCCTCAGCACCACATAAGCAAAAAGAAAAAAGCCGGAAGTGATGCTGTGGCTCAAGTGGTAGAGTGCTAGCCTTGAGCTGAAGTGCTGAGGGACAGTGCCCAGGCCCAGAGTTCAGGCCCCACGACTAGACATCCCCCCCCCCCAAATAAATATGTTAGAAACAATTGCAAGAAAGAAGAAACATTTGAATCCTTATCTTGGGGTTCATTTCATCTAACATTAACTTATCTGACCTTTTCTGCTTGTCACAGACATATACTAGATATTGCAAATAAGGGAAACCATGGGACCTATGTTTCTTTGGGCCTGGCTTACTTCACTTAATATAATTTTTTCCAAGTCTTTCCATTTCCTAACAAATGAGGCGATGTCATTCTTTCCGATGGAGGCCTAGAATTCCATTGTGTATATATACCACATTTTCTTGATCTATTCATCTACTGAGGGGCATCTGGGTTGGTTCCATATCTTAGCTATGGTAAATAATGCTGCAAGAAACATAGTTGTGCTGGTAGCTTTAGTGTGGTCTTGTTTGTGATCATTTGGGTAAATGCCCAAAAGTGGGATTGCTGGGTCCTAGGGGAGCTCTATGTGGAGTCTTTTGAGGAACCTCCATACTGCTTTCCAAAGAGGTTGAACAAGTTTTCACTCAGTTTTCTTGAGCCACGTTTTCTTTCTTTTCTTCACCTTGTGCCTTGCATTCCTCCACCGTTCTGAATCTTCTCAGCTTTCTTCACTTTCTTCTATCTTTGTGGACTTTGTGGCTTGCACGTGGCGGTGCTCACGTCCCCTTAGTGTGGTTGTGTTACAGGAAACCTGAGGATGTGTATCAGTCTATTTCCCGTGTCGGTCACAAAATACCTGAGACTGAGCAGTGTACAAAGAAAAGAGGTCCATTGAACCCAGGGTTCTGTGTGCTTCTCCCGGGGACCGAGACACAGGGCAGGAGTTCATATAGAGATCTCGTGGTGACACAGGGAGGCGGTGGTGGGAAGGGCCTGGCCTTGTTCTTTTTACAACACCTTGCTCTTATGAGGCTCACTGACACCAACACTAATTCTTCTGAAGGTTGTGACCTCAGTAACTTAACACCATCTACTAGGTGCCACCTCTTAAAGGGCCCGCACCACCTCTCAATGCCACTTCACTGGGCAATAGGCTTCTGCCTCCAGACCTTCTGGGTGACACACTCACCTAAAGAATAGCAGGATGTTAGGAGCATGTGTAAGCCACCTTTCAGCAGCATGAGAGTAGCTATTAGCACCCTGGCCATGCCAAAGATTCATGGGATAGCAAAGATGGAATGGGAAGAAAATTTTCTGAACTGCCTTGGTTAGACTTGGAGCCAGCATTTGTTTGACTTGGGGTTATGAAGCTCCACAGGAAGCTCTCTTATGTCCCCAACACCTCTTTCTCTCCCCTCTTCTTTTCTCTCCTGCCGGTACTAGGACTTGCACTCAGGGCCCAAATGTTGTCCCTTTGCTTTATTGCTCAAAGCTAGTACTCTATCCCTTGAGCCACAGCTCCATTTTTGGCTTCTTGCTAGTTTGTTATAGACAAGAATCTCATGAACTTTCCTGCCTCAGTTGGCTACGATCCTCAGATCTGAGCTGCCTGAGTAGCTAGGCATGAGCCGCTGACACCCGGCTTGTCTTTCTACTCTACCACAAACCCAAAGAAGATTGCTGTGTTCAGTGAGTTGTTATCTGTGTCTGCATTTGGGTTATGAGAGGACATGAACTGCTTTGAGGGATTTCGGAAGCAATTATTTTGCATGGAAGCCAGCTGTGTAGTAATCTACACGTATTCCTCGTCACTCCTCTGCGAATCAGAGGAGGGGAATAGAATTTCTCATGTCCAGTTTATATCATCCAAAACATACATCCTGTACATGGCACGAGATGGTGTGTCAGTGCACAAGCCAGGCAAGGTGTTTTTAAACGCGATCATTTTGGGTGGAGGGCCTTGCTGCCTCTCTCAGATCTGAAGATGGAAAGAAAGAAGTTGTTCTTTTTTTTGCCTTTGGAAAAGAGAAGAGTTCCTGCTTTCTGTTCTTTCTTTCTGTGAACTTGTACTCCAAGGCCCAACATGACTGGAAGTGGTGGGTGACAGGGAAGGAAGAAAAGCCTGTGTGCATTGCACTGTGTGTGTGTGTGTGTGTGTGTGTGTGTGCATTGCACTGTGTGTGTGTGTGTGCATTGCACTGTGTGTGTGTGTGTGTGTGCATTGCACTGTGTGTGTGTGTGTGCATTGCACTGTGTGTGTGTGTGTGTGTGCATTGCACTGTGTGTGTGTGTGTGTGCATTGCACTGTGTGTGTGTGCATTGCACTGTGTGTGTGTGTGTGTGTGCATTGCACTGTGTGTGTGTGTGTGTGTGCATTGCACTGTGTGTGTGTGTGTGCATTGCACTGTGTGTGTGTGCATTGCACTGTGTGTGTGTGTGTGTGTGCATTGCACTGTGTGTGTGTGTGTGTGTGCATTGCACTGTGTGTGTGTGTGCATTGCACTGTGTGTGTGTGTGTGTGTGCATTGCACTGTGTGTGTGTGTGTGTGTATTGCACTGTGTGTGTGTGTGTGTGTGCATTGCACTGTGTGTGTGTGTGTGTATTGCACTGTGTGTGTGTGTGTGTGTGCATTGCACTGTGTGTGTGTGTGTGCATTGCACTGTGTGTGTGTGTGCATTGCACTGTGTGTGTGTGTGTGTGCATTGCACTGTGTGTGTGTATTGCACTGTGTGTGTGTGTGTGCATTGCACTGTGTGTGTGTGTGTGCATTGCACTGTGTGTGTGTGTGTGTGTGCATTGCACTGTGTGTGTGTGTGTGCATTGCACTGTGTGTGTGTGTGTATGTGTGTGTGTGTGTATGTGTGTGTGTGTGTGTGTGCGTTGCACTGTGTGTGTGTGTGTGCATTGCACTGTGTGTGTGTGTGTGTGTGTGTGCATTGCACTGTGTGTGTGTGTGTGTGCATTGCACTGTGTGTGTGTGTGTGTGTGTGTGTGTGTTCATGTACACATGCGTATATGTGGACGTGTGAGTGCTCTCTCTCTCCCCACACCCACCCACAACTTGGCACAGACCCGAGTTGCATGGTCTCGGCAGGCTATTTATGGTTTTATGACCATTCATAAAAATTCACACTGGCTGTGTGTGCGCACTGTGGTATCTGGCGCGGATAGCTCATGGAGACTGGCTCAGATAAAGATCTTTTTTTTTTTTGTTCCCATCTGCAGGCTGGCTATGACGGGGAGAGTATCGGAAACTGTCCATTTTCACAGCGTCTCTTTATGATCCTCTGGCTCAAAGGTGTGATATTTAATGTGACAACTGTGGATCTGAAGAGGTAAGACAAGGGTGTACGGGCCTTCCAAGTAGCTTGCCCTGCATTTCCCACGCGCATGGCTCACACACACATACACACATGTGCACGCACAAGTCAGGACTCATGGTAAGATGGGCATGTCAGTTCCAGGAGCCTGAAGTGTAGTCCAGATGTGGGATGAATGGTTTGACTGTGAAGTTGGAGGCCCTGGCCCCTGCTGTCCCCATGACGGGCCAGCTGAGGATCTCCCTGAAGTCCATCCCAACACCATTGCTGGATATGCCACCAGGAAAACTGATTTTCTCCAGGCTCTTAATTTCCAGACTGGGGAGGATATAGCTAGACCTTGGCAGTCAATGCAAATCCTAAAGGACTGCTATTCCTTTCTACTCAGGAAACCCGCAGACCTGCAGAATCTGGCTCCCGGCACAAACCCTCCTTTTATGACTTTTGATGGTGAAGTCCAGACAGATGTGAATAAGATCGAAGAATTCTTAGAGGAGAAGTTAGCTCCCCCGAGGTAGGCTGATAAAACCAGCGTGAACAGACCATTGCAAAGCTCTTGTCTGTGCGTGGCTTGGTTCACTGTGGCTGTGGGACATCATCCTTTCATTATCCCATGGTCTGACACAGGAAAAACCAAGCAGATTAGACACCATAAGTTCCAGTGGCCTGGGTTTAGTGACTGCACCCACATCTGGTGGAGGTGGAGGGGGTGGGATATTAGGAGGTGATGACCTGTCCAGGGTGTGTGTGTGTGTGTGTGTGTGTGTGTGTGTGTGTGTGTGTGTGTGTGTGTGGCCATTTCTCAGGTGCTTTATGGGGAGGTAAGGAGTTAGTGCTAGGATTCAGGGCCATGGAGTTTTGGGCTAGAAGAAATGTTTTAGTCCATTCCCTTCATTCAACTAGCTAGGGAGCTTAGACCAGCAATGATTGTCCTGGAACTGATGATTGTCAGGAAAAAACAAATCTTTGGCCCTAAGGTGGTTCTCCCATATTGAGCCTCTACCCAACTTTGGAGATGAAGATTGGGAATACAAAGGGAGTCTCTCTGTTTTGTATCCACCCACAGAAAGAGATATCTTTTTTCTCTTTGCGTTATTCTAACTCCAACATGACTTTTCTGTGATCCTCCGATTTTGAACTTTTCAAGGTACCCTAAACTGGGAACTCAGCACCCCGAATCTAACTCTGCTGGAAATGATGTATTTGCCAAATTCTCAGCATTTATTAAAAACACCAAGAAGGACACAAACGACAGTGAGTACCTCTGCTCTTCCTGTTCTCTCTCTCTCTATGTGGTCTCTGTGGCACATACAATCCTAGGAACTCACACTGATTTTAGAGAGAGTCATGATAAGAGTCTGGAAATATGGGAAGAATGTAGCTTTAAAAAATTGTGCCCGTACTGGATCTTGAACTCAGAGCCTGGGCACTGTCCCTTAGCCTTTTTTTTTTGTCGGTCATGGGGCTTGAACTCTGGGCCTGGGCGCTGTCCCTAGGCTCTTCAGCTCAAGGCTAGTGCTCTACCACTTGAGCCACAGTGCCACTTCCGGTTTCCTGGTAGTTTATTGGAGATAAGAGTCTCACAGCCTTTCTTGCCTGGGCTGGCTTTGAACTGTGATCCTCAGATCTCAGCCTCCTGAGTATCCCTTAGCTTTTTTTGACTCAAGTCTGGTACTCTACCACTTGAGTCACAGCTCCACTTCCTGCATCTTTGGTAGTTAGTTGGAGATAAGAGTCTCATGGACTTTCCTGCTCAGATCTCAGCTTCTTGAGAAGATAGGATTATAGATGTGAGCCATTATTATCCCGATATATTTCCAGTGTAGACTCTGCACATGACTTCGAAGACATTGAGGTGGTCTTGGAATTGGGAAGCAGAAATTGGCATTATTAGAGTAAAATAAACACCTTCAAGGAGTTTGTCACTGCTTAAATGTTACTTTGGCCAGTGCTTACCTTGTTACAGCCTTTTCACACTTCTTTTTTGTGTGTGTGTGCCAGTATTGGGGCTTGAAATCACGGGCCTGGGCATTATCCCTTAGCTTTTTCACGTAAGGCAAGCACACTATTATTTGAGCCACAGCTCCACTTCTGTATATTCAGCACAATAATTCTCCAGGGTGGAGCGAGTCCTTATTCAGACATCTACAGCCATGTTCTTTCTTTCTGACACCAATTGTTGGCTGGCCAGGTCTCAGGAAGGATCTCAAGCTCTCTCCATCCTCGTTAGAGATAAGTGATGTGAGGGGTGGATGCATGGCTCAGTGGGTAGAGTGCTAGCCAGTGAGCGAAAGCATCAGGTACCTATTTCAAGTCTCAATCTCAGACCTAAAAAAAAAAAAAGGGAAAAAAGTAAGTGACGTGAACCTACACGGCCTAACATAGCAATTTCTTGCCTTTGCGTTTGAGTTTATGAAAAGAACCTGTTACGGGCCCTGAAGAAGCTGGATAATTACTTGAACAGCCCTTTGCCAGATGAAATAGATGCCCAGATCGCCGAAGATGTTGCTGTTTCTGGAAGGAAGTTTCTGGATGGGAATGAGCTCACCCTGGCAGACTGCAACCTCTTACCCAAGCTCCACATTATTAAGGTTTGTCTTTCCTCCTGACATCTGTGCTGACTGCATGAATGAGGCTTTGTGTGACTTTGTTTTCACTTGTCCTTGGGCCAAACATTGAAACAACCTGCAATGTGAATTTGAATGACAAACTAGCTCATTTCTGTTTGAGGCAGTCAAATGCCAACCTTCATGGGAGGATGGGCTCCGGAGGTTCCCCTGAGGTAGTGTGACCTTGACCCCTGTCCTTCTGCCCCACTGCTCTTCCAAACTGCTTAGCCTACCGTCCACAGCCTGAGGTTATATGAAAGCGATGATCCGAGGAATGCAGGACTGGCTTGGCATTTCACACTTGAGGCTGGGAGGTGATGTGTTGTTAATAATAGTAGGAGAAGCTAAGGATCTTTAGCTTTTTCTAGATATGTCCAAGGAGAGTTCTATTGGCTCTTCATATTGACTCTCAAGCCAGGTGCTGGTGGCTCAAGCCTGTGATCCTAGTTACCCAGGAGGCTGAGATCTGAGGATTGAAGTTGGAAGCCAGCCTCAGCAGATTATTATTTCCAATTAACTAGCCAAAGTCAAAAGTGTGGTCACATGGTAGAGTACCAACCCTGAGTGAAAAAGCTAAAGGATGGTGCCCAGGGACAAGCTCTAATACTGGTATTCAAACTCAAACACAACCCCAAACCCTCAGCAGCTAAAAGCAGCAGACATCTCCTCGGCTTGGCCTCTGTCTTCCTGGATAGTGGATGACTCCAAGAGAATCACGAGTCACATACTGTCAGGGATGAGAGACTTCTTGGACCAGTAGTTCTCCAGTGTGAGCTTAAGAATCCCTGCCGGGCAGTATTAATTGCTACTTATTTAGCACTCTTTATAAGAAGGGTGTGGAGGGGGGGGTGGTGATGGCTCACTCCTATAATCCTACCTACTCAGGAAGCTGAGATATGAGGATCCAGGTTCAAAGCCAGCCCAGGTAGACAAATCCAAGAGACTCCTGTCTCCAGTTAACCAGCAAAAAACCCAGAAGTGGAGGTGTGGTTCAAGCGGTATAGTGCTAGCCTTGAGTGAAAAAGTCAAGAGACAACATGAGGCTCAGAGTTAAAGCCCCAATGTCAGCACAAAAAGGGAAGAGGAAGTTATTTTACGTGTCAGGGGAAGGGAGAAACTTCAAAGTGAGATAAAGCAGTCCAGAATTCCAGTGTAAGACCAAGAAGCAAAAATTTCAAAGCCATTTAGTACTCAAGATCCCAAACTGCTTAATGACCTTCCAGGATAGGGTAATTCTGAAAGGAAATGAGGCTCAGTCTGAGGGAATTATGGTAAAAGACGAGAGAGTGAGGGGATTTATAATTAATGCCCCTTCCTGAAACCCAGTAGCAACCACATAAAAATAGAGTGTTAGCATCATTTTTTATGAAACTGCAAAAGAATGACATCACCAACCCGAAGGGACAGGAACTGCACCAGAGTGCACTGGCCCAGGGCTGAGTCTCGTGTCTCCATATTTTTAGCCAAGTTCAGCATCCCCAAAAAGGATGTGATCCACTGTTTCATAATAAAAATCCCTCAACATCCAAGTCAGACTTCGGTGTTTGAGGGCCAGATAGGAGGCAGAGCACATCTCTGCAGAAATCACCTCTAAGTTGAGATTTCTGCGGAGGCTGAATTGAAGGAGGGCTGTGAAGATTCACCATCTGTACAGCTTATCACCTCTCATCCAAAGGAACAGCTCGAAGGGGAAATGGAGCAGGAGAAGAGAAGAGAGGTGGCCTTTTGTTTGGTGGATGCTAAGCAGAGAAAAGAAATAGCCTCCCAACAGGTCGAGACTGTAAATTGTCCAACCTTTTCAGCCATGGTGACCTCAGGTTTCATCTGTGAGTTTAATAGTGGAGGACCTCCAATGGTAGCACTAATAGTGTGTGTGTGTGTGTGCGCACACGCATTCATGTGCATGTGTGCACACGCATTCATGTGCTGTGTGCATGTGGATGCCATACTAGGGCTTGATACTCAGGACATCTGACTTCCGTTTGGCTTTTTCTGTTCAAGGCTCTCACTCAACCACTTGAGCCACAGCTCTCCTTCTGTCTTCTCACTGGTTAATTGGAGATAAGAGTCTTATGGACTTTCTTGCTGGCTTTGAACCACAATTCTAAGATCTCAGCCTTGTGAGTAGTTAGAATTAACAGGCATGAGCCACAGGCACGCAGAATCTCACACTTATCTTTACCCTAACCATAATGTAATGGGATCCCAACTCTACTATATCTCTGGAGAAGGGTAGATAGTATTTGCTGAGTGTGTGCTTGAGCAAGAGCATTCAGGCTACTCTACCGCCCCCACTTTGTCCTCGTTTTCTACATTGTTTTAAAGCTTCAGTGTATCTGCCTCATTAAAAGACAACTGCAAATCCAAGGAGGACTTCTGTGGGACTAGAGCTAATGAAAGAGGGGAGGAAGGAAAATGGCAAGGAAAAAAAAAAACAACAAAAAGGGCAGATGAAAAAATATAATGAAGATTTGGTCCAGCAAATTCAAGAATGTTCCAAGCTTTTCTGTATGCTCAAGAAATGAGAGTATCAGCCTTTTGGATTTTTAGTTTTGTTTTCAAACTCTAATTTTTAATTATCTTTGAGTAGTTGTACAAAGGGTTTGCCATTCAACATGTCAGTTGATGAGCACAGTGCATCTTGACCAGTGCCATTCAACATGTCAGTTGATGAGCACAGTGCATCTTGACCAGTGCCATTCAACATGTCAGTTGATGAGCACAGTGCATCTTGACCAGCGCCATTCAACATGTCAGTTGATGAGCACAGTGCATCTTGACCAGTGCCATTCAACATGTCAGTTGATGAGCACAGTGCATCTTGACCAGCGCCATTCAACATGTCAGTTGATGAGCACAGTGCATCTTGACCAGTGCCATTCAACATGTCAGTTGATGAGCACAGTGCATCTTGACCAGTGCCATTCAACATGTCAGTTGATGAGCACAGTGCATCTTGACCAGTGCCACCCCTTCCACCATTCTCCCCATCCCTCTTGAGATTTTCACGAACACGTTGGCATTTTAGCAATTCGTTTTCCATTGCTATCATGAAAGACCCGAGGCTAGGTATTATGTAAAGAAGAGATCCGAGCTGCTTTGGCTCGTGGTGTTAGTGTGGCCTGGTGCAGGTGTTGGCAGCGCTGGTGAGGACCTCAGGGAAGGAGGCCGCGCTCTCCTGCGGACATGGGAAACATCGTGAGACATAGTGAGGCAGGACACCACAGAGGGGAAGGGCTGGGCTTGCTCGCTTGTAACAACCACATTGCAAGTACTCACCAGGGTCTCACGTATCCTCCCTCAGTCTCCTCTGAGAGACCACTCCAACAACCCCCTACTAGGTCAGAAGTTCCACTGCCTCCCGTGTTGTCCCACTCAGTCCCAGACTTCCAGCACTTTACCTTCGAGGGATGCACTCACACTGTGTCCTTGCTGTGGAGAGGGTGGACGGGAGGGGAGAGACTGGAGTCTGCAGGCCGGGGTGGGGGGAGGGCTTTGGGGCTCAGCCTTTGGGGCCTGGTTAGTGCACAGAGAATGTGCTGCTATCAGTGGGTTTTATATAGGGTAGATTAATGATTGACAGGGAGCTAGCAGGAGGGAAGTTGGGGGTGACAGCTTCGTGGGTATGGGCTCTGGAAAGAGACAGTTAGTGGAAGAGATCACCCAACATTATGAATGCCTGAGTTGTACTAAATGTTACTCCTTAACATGGCTTATCATTTTATGACAACAAAGAAATTATAAGGGAAAAGAAAAAAAATCTTGTCTACATGTAGCAGCTAGCTAGGTAATAATAATCATAATAGCAGCAACAATAATAATAATGATAATGATTATGATCATTATAATAATAAAATAGTAAAGCTATCTACATGGGGAAGAAATTCAGACAGACATCAGGTGTCTTCATCACATTAAAAATAAAAAAATAGTGATTTAACATCTGGAGAGAATTAAAGGAAAGGCTGTATGATGTACAATGCAAGGATTTTATATCCCTGAAATTTGTAATTTCTACCTGGACTCCTAATCTTACTAAAATAAGCATTCTTAAGCTTTTAAAAATTGCTCTATGATGAAATAATAAAATGATAATCAAAATAAGAATCTTGAAACAAGACAGGAACTTGTTAGTTCACAAGTGTAATTTTACCTATGTAGGAGGCTGAGATCTGAGGATTGTTGTTTGTAGCCAGCTTGGGCAGACAAGTCCGTAAGATTTGGTCTCCAAACTAATTCTCAAAAGTCTGAACTGGAAGATGGCCCAAGTGTTAGATCACCTGGTGAGCAAGTGAAGCAGAGCTAACATGGGGCCCTGAGTTCAAACTCTTTCCCCAGAAAAAGGGAAAAAAATTCTAGGAACAGAGAAGATGTATTGACAAAAAGACAGGGGATAAGCAAAGATTTAAATCTAAACAAGGATGAAGGCCCATCAACAGGGACAGGGACACCACAAAGTCACAGTGTAACAAAGCTGAATGCTGTTATAGTCACTGGAAGGGAGATGAGAGAGAAGAAATGTTAAGATATACAAATTGATTAACCTCATTTGTTGCCATGAGAAGTCAGAGTTGATATATCAAGAAATGAAGAATTCTATTTATTTACTAATTAACAGTATTAGGGGACGAACTCAAAGCTTGAGCCATGTTTCAAAGAGAATTCCTGTAATTCAGTGTGTTAAAGGAAACCATTGAAACAGATAAACTAAATTCTTCTAAGTTATCAGAAGGTTTCTCACACATGAATGCATGCTTACACTTAGAAAGGCACAAAGGTATTACATATTAAAAAATATTAAAGCAAGATGCTATTCATAAAAGGCATAGACTTTTCAGATTTACCCTGAAGAGAAACGGAAACAAGACAAGGAAAGTAGAATTCTTAACAAGCCCATTGATACATTTGAATTGAAGCAAGAGAGGCTAAACCATTTTAGAGGCTTTCTAAAAGTCATTTGGTCCTAATTTGCTGTCACATTGTATTGATGGCTGCTGATCTCCAATTACAAAGAAATAAGCGCTGAAGATCTAATTTGTGGTGAATTCCATGGTGACTTGGCTTAGATATTGAAGTCATAGGAGATTGGAGATGACAAGGCAGAAATCCCTGGTCTGCATTGCATATTGGATTGTTGAATTCTCCCAGCCCAGATTCCTATCTGCTGCTCGGCCCACCAAGGCCTCAGAACACAGCCTCATCTAGCAACTGGATCTTTGTAGATGCTTTTAGTGAAGATAAAGTCAGGTTGGAGTTGGCCTGACCTGTTGGCTCCAATAAGGCTGATACCCCTGCAGTGAAACAGAGACATGTATACCGGGAGATAGGCATGGGAAATTGGAGTTATGACAAGAAGCTGGGAGATGGGTCCAAGACAGATCCTTTCCTAGAACCTGCTGTGAGAGAAGGACTCTACCTTAGTCTTGATTTTGGACTTCTGGCTTTCAGGACTATGAGCAAATACATTTTCTTGTTCTAAACTATCTGGTGATTGGTATTTTGTTAGAGCAGCCCCACCAAACAGATACATTGGTCACTGTTATGCACTGCCCTTTGTGATGAATTCCCTCCCTGGACCTCTCCACCCAAGGAAACACCTTACCCTGCTGCGTTTCTCATGATGCTCACTGTGAATTATCCTTTCTTTGCAAGCACTGTTTCCATGATAATGAGGAATATGCTGTTCTGCTTGTGCGTTGGACCTCTGCACATGGCAGGCCCACAATCAAAGGTTCTGCTCAGGAGCAGAATGATGGACATCTGTCTGAATAACATGCACAATACTTGGGATTGCAACAAGAAGAATAAAGGATGGGCACTCTAAGCCAGGGCCTGGTGGCTCATGCCTGTAATACTAGCTACAAAGAAGGCTGAGATCTGAGGATTATAGTTCCAAGCCAGACCAGGCAGGAAGGTTTGTGAGACTCTCATCTCCACTTAACCACCAAAAAGCCAGCAGCAGAACTGTGGCTCCAGTTATACAACAACAAAAAACTAAGGGAATATACTCAGGTCCTGAGTTCAAGCCCTAGTCTTGGCAAACATACATATATACATATAAACATACACACATACACATGCATGCTCACATGCGCATGCACGCATGCACACACACACACACACACACACACACACACACACACACACACACACAAGACAAGAATGGGTACTTTATGGTGATCTTGGCACAATTCAAGCCAAGATCTATCATGAATCTTTAGTGATGGAATACATGGAAAGGTAACTGCAATAAGCAAGGAGAAATTCACTGAATTTGGGCCATCCCAAGGATGGTCTGTGGCCTTGGGCAGGACCACACGGAGTGGCTGCTCTGAGTCCAGGACCATGTTACCTTCTCCCCAAGATGCCCTGATAAAAGTCAAATGCCACTGTGGGCAGCCCACATGATGTGCTGTGACCTCAGGAGCTGGTTAAGAGCCTCAGAAGAATGGACGGTCTGATTTGATCAAGGATGGTGGACTTTCCCCTTTACTGATCATTTCCTCTTTGTTTGCAGATTGTGGCCAAGAAATACAGAGATTTTGAATTCCCTTCTGAAATGACTGGCGTCTGGAGATACTTGAACAATGCTTACGCTAGAGATGAGTTCACTAATACCTGTCCAGCAGACCAGGAGATTGAGCATGCGTATTCAGATGTTGCAAAAAGAATGAAGTGAATCTGGCTGCCCTTTCTATTCGTTTCTCATTGAGTGAGCTAGACTTCAAAAAGAGTGTTGGATGCACTTGCCCCAGTGACCTCCTTTTGTAAAATAATGCCAATGGTGTGACCCGCAGGTCACTACCCCATGACATATGGCCTTTTCTATCTAGCATAACATCACCTCTTACACACACACAGGTGTCCAGTGTGTGTTCACTTATAACTGGCACACACCGACATCATAATAGCTGATATTTAGGGCATATGTTTTGCAGTTAAAGTTTCAAAGCAAATTGACTTTGAGTTCAAGTCCCTTAATTTTTTCGAATTTAATGTTTCTTTGTGTGTGTGTGTGTGTGTGTGTGTGTGTGTGCCAGTCCTGGGGCTTGAACTCAGTGCTTGGGCACTGTCTCTGAGCCTCTCTGTACTCAAACTTAGTGCTCTACCACTTGAGCCACAGTGCTACATCCAGCTTTTTCTGAATAGTTCATTGGAGATTAGAGTCTCATAGATTGTTCTGCCCAGGCGGACTTTGAACCACAATCTTAAGATCTCAGCCGCTTGAGAAGCCAGGATTATAGGCTTGAGCCACTGGTACCAGGCTCAGATTTAGTTATTGTTGTTTGGTACTTTTTGTAATCAGATACTGTCTACTTTATCCTCTTAAATATTCAATTGTTTTCAACTGTTTTTATAATTATAAAATAACACTGATTTTTAGTACTTTAAAAACAGTATCAAAGTGTATAAAGAAGGAAGAAAAAGCTGTACCTAAGCATTTTTCATTCTACTTGATAATGCATTGGTGGCCGTCTCCTGAATCTTCAAAAACAGGACGAATCTCCTGAGCTCCTGAGAGCAGACATGTGATGTATGGCCCCACACAGACACACAGACACAGACACAGACACAGACACACACACACAGGTTTCATGTACTTACAGCCTTGTGTTTGTGTAAAGGATTGGTGAGAGGACTGCATGGTGTCTTGAAAATTATCATAGAGGACACAAACACAAAGGTTTGGGCCTGAAAAGGTAGAGAGGGAATGTTGGGTTGGCTGTAGAGAGGTGGCAGACAGCGGAATGTGTGGAGCTAGCAGGGTCAGCAGGGGCCAGGGTGTCTGAACCCCAGCCTGCCTTGTTCCTGGCTCTACGGTGATGCTACCTCTGACTCCAGCACAGGCCTGGGTGGTAGAGGAGAGCACGCATCTGTGCCGTTGGTTCCAGCTCCTTGTCTGATACTCTCCGCTGCCCCCACCCCTCTCAAGGGGACTGTGCTTTCGAGGAGGACTCTTCAGGTTAGCTCACCCTCCCCTCACACACTGAAATGGGAACCAAGCCTCCCTCATGGCTGCTCGCTAAGGCCCGCCGTGGCCTCCCTTCCAGGCAGCTGATTGGTGGTGGCTGGCGCAGCCGTTGCTGCTGCTGTGCCCTTTTTTATCTCTCACTCTGAGGTCAGGCAGGGAAAACCCGAAGCAATTACATTCCAGATTAAAACCAAGGGAGTCCCGCCCTCTTGGGCAGTTCTGGTAAATGGTCCAGTTAGAGAGGAAGTGGGAATGATTGACAGAATGGTTCAAGTCTATCTGTATTTTCCTCCTCCATTCCTCCTAGTACCCCTGTCCCCCCACAACTTAGCTTTGTGTAGGGGTGAGCAACTAGGTTCTAGCCCCAGCAAGGGAGAAAGAGTGTGAGGCTGCGTAGATATCTACAAGTTTCAAAGGTTTGTTTCTTGACAGTCCCATGCATCCTAGAGAAAATGCATCTTGAGGAGCTGGCCGTGGATGCTTTTATAAAATGCGTATTCTCCATACATCTGCACTATCAGTGACCTATTTGAAAGAGAGTCAAATGCATGAATAGCCGCACTCCTGGGATTTGCTGGCCACGTTCATGTTTTTTCCTTGATCACAGGATGCTGGGCTTCTGTCCCAGATGTTTATCATCCATGCGTTTTTGTCACTATTGTGAGAATTATTTAATATCTCTTTAGGAGTCTGATTTTTTGGGGGGGTATTTCAGATGTGCATATATTGTATTTTGTTCAGAATAACCTTCTCAATTGTTTTCTCTTCTCCTGAAGATTTTTAATTTAGTTTTACAATGTTACATTTGAACTTGGTAAATGAGTAGACTCCCAGACCTTACTAGAGATGCCTTTGTACTTTCAGATGTTGAGATGATCATACACTGTGTGCCTTAAACATTAAACAGATTATAAAATCTTTGAAATGGAACCTATCTCTTTAATTAAAAAAAAATCTTTTCATTCACTTTTAGATGTAAAGAAATACAATGAATGCTGGGGGCTCATGCTCATAATCCTAGCTACTTAGGAGGCTGAGATCAGGATAAAAACTAGAAGACAATCCAGGTGCAAAGGTTTACAAAACTGTCTCCAAAGTAATGGACAAAATGCCAGACTCAAGGCATGGTTCAATTTGTAGAGTGCCAGTCATGAATCAAGCAAGCTAAGCCAACAGGAGGGACTGAGTTCAAGCCCAGGTCCCAGCACAAAAAAGAAAGAGAAAATAGAATGAAGTTTATGGGCTTCTTTTTAAATTATGTGAGCTAGAGATGATCCCTATTTGAATCATGAATCACAAAGCTATTTACCGGGGCCTGAAAGAAGCCTAGCGTCCTGTCTCTGGGCAGATGGACTAAGAAGGAGGCCTTCTAGGCTGTTCCACCTGTACATGTGGTTGTAGAAAAGCAGAATTGGGCAGAGAAGCCTTCCCCAGCCTTGCTGCTTGTCCCCATCCCCGCCCCCACCCTACTCTTCCTCTCTCCTTTTATGTGGTGGTGGGGGGGGTGGAGGCTAACAGAACAGCCTCAAAATGCTTTGAGTTTGAACTCAGGACTTCACATTTGCTAGACAGGTATGTACCATTGAGCTCCAACTTCAACCTTTCTTTGTACTGATTACTTACTTATGTATCTATTTTTGTTGGTCACAGGGCTTGAACTCAAGGCTTGGGCGCTGTCCCTGAGCCTTTGCACTCAAGGCAAGCGCTCACCACTTGGAGCCACAGCGCCACTTCCGGGTTTCTGGTGGTTAATTGGAGATAAGAGTCAAAGACTTTCCTACCTGCAAAGAAGTGGGATCCTTGGATCTCAGCCTTCTGAGTAGCTAGGATTCCAGGCGTGAGCCAACGGATGGAGTCTCCCTTCCTGTCTGGGCCCATGTCTCTGCTGTGCTTCTCCTATTTTATACTTCCCGCCAGGCACAGCTACTGGTTGAGATGAGAATCTTGTGAACTATTGTCTTCTAAACTCAGTCCTCCCTCTCTCTCTACCTTCTGAATAGCTATGCATGATCCCCTAGGGCTCAGCTTATAGCACAGGGTTTTGGAAGTATAACTTATTTGTTCCCCAGACGCAAGTACAGAACATAAATGTGGATGGAGACTGACTTCCTTTTTGGAGGCTGGTGCCGGTGATGTGAAGGGGTCTCAGGACAACAGGGTTCCATTCTTGCTCATAGTCACTCAAGAGGCCTGATAAAGGCTCAGTGTGGTGATTCATGCCTGGAATCCTAGATTGCTTAGGAGGTGGAAATAAGGAGGATTGTGGTTAGAGGCCAGCCTAGACAGAAGTTAGTGAGACTCCATCTTAACCAGAAAGTCAGCCGTGATGGTGTGTCTGTGACCTCAGCTACGCAGGAGACACAGGTAAGAGGGTCATCGTTCATGATGGCTCCTGACTAACGCCAAACAGGGCTTTGGGCATGACTCAAGTGGTAAACCACCTGCATAGTCCATGAGCCCCTGAGTTCAAGCCACAGTACCACCACAAAAGAAGAGTTAGAAAAAACAACAACATCTATCCTATAGCAGCAGGCTAGAAAAAAAGGCAAGAACATTAAGGGGTTATACATTGTGAGGATAGAGTGAAGTTAGCCAGAGAAAGGCCTTCTAGTAAGCATAAACCATAAGAAGCAATAGATAATTTCTAGCCTCCAGGTCTTTAGGAATTGAACATATCACCCCTCTCCCCAACAGATACACCGTGTGTGTGTGTGGGGGGGGGCAAACGTATGTGCTCACAATCTGTCACACAAGCACACTTACACATACACGTGTGCACAGACGTGGTGGTGCTCAGGCTTCCTCTTAGCACCAGGCAGTAGTGACTCACAGCTCACTCTTCACAACATGCCATTTCAGTCCTCACTTCTGAGGGTTCACAATTAGCTTTTGGAAGACATTTTAAAATAATTTCCCCTCCCTTTAAAAAAATGCGTAAGCCCAACCCCTTTTTATTTTGCAGTTATAAGAACCATCTATGCATCGTTCTAAGCCTGCACAAAACCTTGCAGACATCGCAGGGCTCCTCCTGGGTGTTTTCCTCACATTGCAGAAGGACTACTTTTTACATAGGGTGGTTTCCTTCTGAACTCTGACATACAGCTGTAAATCCTGGTTTTCTGTGTTGCCAACTTTCAGGGAATAGCCGCTTTATCGGGCTAGGTGGTTGTACCTGGCTCTTGGTGGCAAAGGAAGGGACAGCACTGGCTCCCAGGGCCTGGGGGGCACAGAGCCTTCTCTGTTGGCTGCGTGCCTGGGGACCCAGGAGAGAGAACACCTGCCCCAGTAGCCTGGTTTGCCTTCAGCAAGTTCCACCCAAGCCTCTGGCAATCCTTGCCTAGCATCAGACATTCAGTCAATGAGAAGCTGAAGTTGCCATTTCCTACCCACAAACCAGTGCGGTGTTTGGGTCGTCATGGTGGAGAGGCTGCCCATGTGGGAGGAGGAAGCCAGTTCAAGGAGTAAAGGCTGCGGCAGGGCTGTTCATTTGGACTTTTAGGGGGACGACCACACACAGTATGTCCTCCAGACATCTTCATACTCCTGGGGCCTCTGCCTATTTCAGCCGCACTAACCAACCTTCATTTTAAGATGGCATCTCCCATTCCTGACGCTTCCTCTGGTCCCTTCGGTTGTTGGTTCCAGGTGTCCTGCCTGGAGGACTGTGACTATCCATGGCTGAACGAGGCTCACTGCAGTTTCCTGGCCTCTATCCTATTGTGAATCTGTCTTTCCAGGTGGATGACCCCTGTAAACCGAAGTCCCTTCCTGATCTCTGAACTCCTACATCCACAACTACCACTTGCCAGAGCCTCGTAAGACCTTCCCAATCTTTTGGATTCCCACAGGATCTAAATGAACCTGAGAATAACACCAGGTCCCAGGAGAGCACAGGCCTTGTTCTATTCAAATGTTCCTTGGTTTTGTAACAGGGAATGTATTTGAATAACCTGAAGCGTTTTTATTTTTATTTTTTTGAAGATTTGTCTTCTTATTTACTTTCATTTCTCTTTCTGGTAGTGAATGCTAATAAATTAAGCATGTTACTGGCT